AGCTGTAGATTGGGAGTGAGACCGCTGAACCGGGGGACGGGGTGTGGGGAGACAGGTGGGGCCTAGACGTTGTTCTTGAGCCACTTTCCCAGAGCCTGTGACTTTAAGAGATGCGAAGAGCCTTAGACAAAAAGAATTGCCATTTATTGCGGTAATACGTTTCAAGCACTGCCTCTCTTCTACCTTAATATGTAAATCCTGTGCGGCAGATACTGTTAATAAAATTAGTTTACATATGGGAAACTGAGGCACGGACTGGTTAAGTAACTTGCCTGAGATCAGTAAGTAACAGATGGAATTCCAGGAAAGGAGCCTTGACTCCAAAGTTAGTAGGCAGAACTACCAGTGTATAGCCTTTCAGTATATTCTAGAACTGCTCAGATGAGAAGCCAGATATGAAATTGAATAAATAACGTTTGTCAAGTGTCTAACACATTTCCTGGCACGGTGTCGGTCCTCGTAAAGATCCAACAGATCCTCGATGAGAAGCCAGATATGAAATTGAATAAATAACGTTTGTCAAGTGTCTAACACATTTCCTGGCACGGTGTCGGTCCTCGTAAAGATCCGTTTTTGCCTCTTTGTCTTGAATATCTGTTGGTTTGGGTCACTCCCCAGAGCATAGGTCTCCCAACTTCAAGTTTCTACACAACTCCCATTAATTCTGTCTTCTCCAACGTCTGGTCTCCTTGGATGGCTTCTCTCTCCCTTGCTCCTTGGGCATTGAGAATCAGTCCAGCCAGTCCTAGTTAGCTATGCTAACCCTGAAGTGCCTCTTGAAGGCAGAGGAGCTTAGCAAGAACCCGAGTCCCTAGAGGAGATTTGGTGGGATCAGAGTCTTATACCCAGCTAAGGCCAGCACCTAGCCCAGGGCCTGTCACCCAGGAATGCTGGATGAGTCAGAAGAGAATGTCTAGAGCGCTCTGACTTTAGAATGCTGACTTTCCCTCCTTACCGGCTCAGGGTCTGCCAGATCATCCTGTTCCTGGTAATGACTTCTTTTCTCTGAGCTGTCCTGTTGAGCTTCCTACCTGGTTTAGGGCTCAGTGCTGCTAACTGATGGTGTGCTTTGTTTCAGAAAATCCCTCAGCGTCATTTCTAGGGGAAAAAAATGTGTATACAATTATTGAAGTTTAAATTAATGTTTAAAATTTGATGTGGTATATAGTAACCTTACTCTTCAAGTCATGAACCCCTTTGAGAATGATGAAACTATGGATTTTCCCAGAAAAATGCATTACATGATCATCTCAAGAACTTCCTGGACTCACATCCCTGCAGACCCAGCTTAAGAACCCCAGGTTTAAAGGAACCCTAAAGTCAGCCCTAATGTAATGCGTAAAGTCATGTATTAGAATGTTTACATACTTTGGGATTAAAAAACAAACCAACAGAAATGGAACACCTGTCATAAGGATTCAAAAGAAAATGGGAGAGTTAACCCAGATAATTTACCCTGATCCGAGGGACTGTGCGTGGCCAGAGCCCTGTGGCTCTTCTGCCACGCTGGTCACTCACGGACTCTGTAAGTGGGATTTGGGAAATTCTGTAGAACCCCCACTTGCTCGTCTCTTCCCATGATGATAGTTTGTTGCTATGTTAATAGTTTCCTCAAAGCAATGTTGAAACTGTTATAAGAGGTAACATGCCGGGGACCTGGGTGCCAGCAGGGTCCAGTCCCTGGAGTAACAGATCATGGCTCCAGACTGTCTCGGAATGTTTTATCTTTTCTCATCACAGCATCCTGATGTCCTACGATCATGTGGAACTTACTTTCAATGACATGAAAAATGTGCCAGAGGCCTTCAGAGGGACCAAGAAAGGCACCGTCTACCTTACCCCTTACCGAGTGAGTTGCAAGCGCCACAGTAGGTTTGGAGGCTTTGGCTCGTGGAGACTGATGTGAGTCTTAGGTCAGCCTCAGCCTTGTGAGTCCAGTGGCCTCTGAACCTGGTGACTATTAATTCTTTACTCTGGGTGTTTCTCTGTCACATGCTCCAGGGTTCTAGAACCACCAGGCTGAACTGACCACTGGGCAGTGAATCCATGCAAACTGCAGAGCTGTTGCTGCAAAATCTCTAGTTAGATGCGGCCACTGGGATGACCTGGGCCTGGAGGAGAGAGGCTGTTGTTATTTTGATTCTATAAAAGCAGCCTATGAGGCCTTTGTGCACTTCCAGAGTGATAAATGTGATTAACAAGATACAGTAGCATGGCTGCAGCCTCTGGACTGGGCAGAGAGCCTGGCCAAACCCTGCAGAGAGAGAAGTGCCAGACTGCACAATGGGCCCTGCCTGAGAGTTGCCCAGGCGGATGCCGAGAGCCTTCCGGAGAAGTTCAGATGGCTGTTCTTGGAAAAGCGTCACTGCCGTAGCTACCCAGGAGTTAGGCTTACGCGGTTGGAAGAGAGGAGTACATCTTCAGTATTAATCTTCAGAGCCTAGCGGGGACCTGGGAGGCTCACAGCCCCATTTCTGGTGGTCAAGTGGCATCTTCGGTCATGGGTTTAAAACAGAAGGTTCTCTGAGCGCGTTAGGCAAGACTTGTTGCTGTTTGGGCAGTGAGTCCGAGGGAGGGTGACGACAGCCCCTTCTCCCGGGCTCCGACGCCCCCTCCACTCCTTTATTCTCAGTTCTGCAGAGCTCAGGCTGGACGTCCCCGTCCCGGCCCCGCTCCTGCCTCCCCGCCCTCGCTTTGCGGGCCCTTTCACTTAACGCACCACATCCGGCCCCTCCTCACCACCACTTAAGTGACAGCAGTCTGTCCCTCTCACATGTGCTGTCTGTGAGGGGCATGTTTTCCTTGCGAACACACACGTCTGGCGTCTCTAAGGCCTTTTGCCTTTAAAAGCTCGCTCCAGGAGTGCCTGGTGCGGGGAGCTCTGAGGCTGCTGGACCCTGGCTTGGGCCGCCCGCCAGCACTGGGAGTGGACACATCACAGAGGAAGCGATGGCCGAGCGGGCTGTGGTTTGAGTGGTGATGGCTCTTGTCTTGTGTCCCTGCAGGTCATCTTTCTGTCCAAGGGAAAGGATGCCATGCAGTCCTTCATGATGCCGTTTTATCTGATGAAGGACTGTGAGATCAAGCAGCCTGTGTTTGGTGCAAACTACATCAAGGGGGCGGTGAAGGCAGAGGCAGGAGGTGGGTGACGAGAGGGCTCAGGGACACAGGGCTTCCAGAGAGATAACTCTGGGGCACCTCTAAGTGCTGCCTTGGAGGTGTCATCTTTGGACCTTATCGCAAGAGGGCTCAGGGACACAGACAGGGCTTCCAGAGAGATACTCTGGGGCACCTCTAACTGCTGCCTTGGAGGTGTCATCTTTGGACCTTATCGCCCTAACCTGTCCTCTTCCTGGCTCTGGATTAGCTTCCAGGACCAACACCTGGGTGCCAGCTGTTCAGCAGAGGTGGGATTTGCTTGACAAGAACTGCTGGCATTGAAATGGCAGCTGTAAATGAATGAATGAATGAATGGCAGCTCAGATCACCTTTTCAGAAAGTGAAATCAGAGAAATGACTGCAAACTAGGTGAAAATGCTCAGCGACTTAGGGAGTGTGTTCAGATTCTCGGTGTGGGAAGGAACTGCGCATCAGGTTCTCAGGCCTTTCCCTGGAGCCAAGAAGAGGCGGCTGGCTGTCTGCAGTGCCCAAGAAGCCCTGCTTGGTGGCAGGCTTCTTCGCAGACACAGTGACCTCTGCTTTCAGCTCGCCCCCACCTCACACCCAGCCAGCCCCAGTTTTGCTGTTGAGCTCACGATTCCTTTTTTGGCAGAAGCCACGCTAGAGGGGCCAGGGGTCCATCCTTCGGTCCCCTCCAGGTGCGGTCTGCTCTAGACTTGAATGTCAGTTGTTGCTGACTGTACCTGTTCCTGGGAAGCTGCTTTGTTGGGGATGGGAGGCCCGAGTGCAGATGTACTTACAGGGCCGAGAGTGGGAAGACGAGCTCGTTCCAGGAAGGAGAAGCCCACAGTTCCAAAGGGTGAAGCAGGCATGGGCAGGAGGCCTGCAGTCTGCAGCACTGGCATCGGGGCAGAAGTCCCGATCCAATTGAGGTGCTGCAGAGCCAGCCCTGTACCCACAGGCCTGCAGGGCATTTGATGGGGACCTGGAGAGGACAAATAGCCATCTCTTCAAAGTAGCCTGTGTTCTTTGCCTGAGCCGTTGATGCACCGTTCCCTTCTCAGGTGGCTGGGAAGGCTCTGCGTCCTACAAGTTGACCTTTACAGCAGGGGGCGCCATCGAGTTTGGACAGCGGATGCTACAGGTGGCGTCTCAAGGTATCAAGGCTCTAAACGGGCCAAGGACAAAATGAAGTGTGTGGGTTTCTGTTCACTTGAGTTCACTTTTCGTTTTGTTTTTAAGCACTTGAGATAAATCCAGGCCCCAGGCTGATTGGGGCTGGGGGATGGGAAGGAAGCCTGTGATCAGCATCACTCCGTCCTGTGCCTGAAAGGCTAGGTTTCCCTTGCCGGGAGCAGGGATAGGACTTTTTGACAAAGCAGTTTGGACTGAAGGACATTTCACTATGGCCTCATAAAAACAAATACTTAAGTGTTAAGCTTCCCTTAGCAACCATATAAAGTCACTGAGGGGTATGTTCAGCAGACGCCCTCACCTCATCTCCAGCCTCACCCATGTCCATTCTTTACCCGATCCCTGAGCCTCCTTCCTTCCGTCTGTCCGTCATCCATCCCTCCACCTCTGCCCTCGACTTGCTCTGACCCCTCTCCTCCTTCTGACCAAGGCTGACTCGCGTGGGTGGGGAGCGGAGTGGAGTGGGGTAGGGCATGTCTGCTGAGCACACCCTGGAACCCTTTGGCTCCCCTCACAGAGGTGGGGCTGCCCTCTCCCCAGCCCTGAGGCCCGAGACACTCACTTCTCTCTCCCCTTGTACTTATAGCCTCCCGAGGCGAAGCCCCCACTGGAGCCTATGGGTACTCCTACCTGCCCAGCGGGGCCTATGTCTTTCCCCCGCCAGTCGCCAATGGAATGTACCCTTGCCCTCCTGGCTACCCCTATCCACCGCCCCCACCTGGTGAGTGTGTCCCGTGCTGCCCACCCCTCTCCCCCCCACTTCCCCACTAACCACCCCCCAGGCCAAGGCGGTGTAGAGGGGAGACTTATTCTGTGACCCGCTGCAGGACTAATGGAGGGGCCCAGCCGAGGGAGCCAGGGCTGCACGGCTCACTGGGTCCCTGTCACTCTCTTGCCAAGCAGAGTTCTATCCAGGACCTCCCATGATGGACGGGGCCATGGGATATGTGCAGCCCCCACCACCACCCTACCCGGGGCCCATGGAACCGCCGGTCAGCGGCCCGGATGTCCCCTCTACTCCTGCAGGTGAGGCCCCGGGCTGCTAGCAGTCCTGGGAGACCAGCCCTCTCCCTGTTGCATGGAGAGCCTCAGAGAACAGCCTGAGAGGAGGCTGGCTGGGAGCCCCAGATGGTGGATGACCCCTGGGCTAGGGACCACCCCAGGGCGACCAGCTATGTGGGGGCCTGGGGGTGAAGAGCTAGATTCCAGCCCTCCGCTCTTAGCTGGTCGTGTGCTCTAGGGCCGGAACGTCTCCCCTGTGCCTCAGCCTTCTTGGCTGTAAATAGGTGGTGACAGCACTGCCTGGCGGGGTGGCGGTGGGCATGGGGCAGCGGCGGGGGGTGGGGGTGCGGTAAAGGGCTTGGAAGGCAGTGTAGCACGGGTAAGTACTGAGATAGTGTCCTGCCCTGAACAGTGGGGGGCCAGGGTCTCTGGGCTGAGAGCAGCTCCAGGGGCAGCTGGAAGGGGAGGGGTGGGCTCATCCCGGGGGTGTGTGTTCTCACAGCTGAAGCCAAGGCCGCAGAAGCAGCTGCCAGCGCCTATTACAACCCAGGCAACCCACACAATGTCTACATGCCGACGGTGAGCTGGGACCTGAGCTGGGACGGGAGCCTGGTGGCCACAGCTGACTGAAATTTCAGGGCGGGGGAGACCTCGGCTCATTCTGAACCTTTTCATGTGATCTTTCCTTTCTTCTTCCCTAGAACCAGCCTCCGCCACCTCCCTACTACCCTCCGGAAGACAAGAAGACGCAGTAGACCCCTCCCCCGCTGCCACCTGCCTCTCATTGTTCTTTCCTTCCCCTCCCCTTGGGACCGAGTTTGGGGTGGGGGGTAATGGGGGGCCTTGTTCTTCCTCCAGGTCTGATTATAAAACACTTACCAGGAACCGGCGTTGGCGGGAGGGAGGGGCCCCCTGACTGAGCTGCGCCTCCAGCTTCCCACGCTGCCTGGAGCCCACACGCGCCCTGCGCACTTCCCTCTCCCCACCTCGGGGGGCTCTCTTCAGGAGCACGAGGCGTCCCCCTCGTTCCTGTCTGCCCTAGCAGCTTCTACCCACGGAGGGACTCTCTGGCCACCTCCTCCGCCCCAGTCCAGCTCCCTCGTTTTGGTAGCCACTTTATCCTCAGCCTCAGGCCTTCCTGAGGACCCCCGCCAGGCCCTGCTCACATTCCCGCCACTCTGGTCTGTACCCAGCCTTGGAAGCCACCTTCCACCAGACTGTCCGCCCACGTTCCGTCCCCAGCCAGCTGCCGGCCCCAGTCCCACTTGCCTCCCCTGCCCTGTTCTAGGTCATCATGTTGCCACCGCGGTGTGACTTTTGGAGCTTTAACATGAGCTTTCAGGGGTTGGGTGGCATCAGGGCCAGGCCACTGTGGCTGGGGGTAGGAGCCCTCTGCTTCCTCGCTGGCGTTTCTGGAATTCGTTTCCCTTTGTCTTCCCTCTAGAAGGGGCTTCTGGAGAACGCATGGCGTCTCGTTAAGCCATTTTTGGGGCTGCTGGGTGGGCTAGAGCAAAGGCCATTGTCCCCTGGGGCCTGGTCTGGGTCTGTGCTCCTCAGCCTGCCCTCTTCCCTTTAAGCTTCATGCCCGCCTGGTTTGGCGCCGTGCCCCCAGACGCACTAAAATTTACTCTCAATTGCTCCTGGACTGGCCGTGAAGTGAGGAGATGGTTATTTAAAGAGAATTCCCTATTTATTTGACAAAAAAAAAAAAAATCCAGTTAATATATTAATGTGAAATAAACCCTGTTTGCACCTTGATTTGTTTGCTGAAAATGTGAAGTAGTAAAAATGAAGTGACTGGACCCTGTGTGGCTCTGTGTGGTGACCCAGGCGAGCGCCAGCAGCAGAGCTGTCTGGCTACCGGGGCCCCTGGGGAGGCTCTGGGGAGACTGTTCCTGCCCCATGTGAGAGTCCCTTGTTCTCATGGCCCATTTGGGCCCAGGACTCTTAAGGCTCGTTGTGTCCCCATTCCTTAGCGGTTGCACAGCAACTGCCCACCCACTGAGTCCCCTGCGGCTGGGCACAGCCCAACAACTGCCCCGGGTGGGAGGCCTTGGAGACCTGGCCGGGTTTGCTGGGTGAGTTTCCAGGCCTCTGGCAGCTGTGCCCGCTGCCTCATGAAAGTGAGGCCTGGCCAGGCCATCCCCTGCAGTGCGTGCCCTCTCGTGAGCCTCGGTGCTCTAGGGGGCAGGGGAGGGGAATGGAAGGTAGGAAACAGCCAGAGTCCTAGCCCTGGAGGAAGGCCCGGGGTGTGGTGTCAGCAGGCCTCTAAACTCTGAGAAAGCCAAGCACTGAAGTGGCCACTTTCCTGGCCCTTCTGGACCAAGGCGCCTTCAGAGAGACAGCACGGCCTACCAGCCGCGGCCTCTGTCCAGCCCCGCCCAGGAGCTTCTGGGTTGGCTGCAAGGGCATTTCAAGGGAGCAACTTTCTGACTGTCCTTGTGTGGGCAGGAACCATACGGCTGTCCCCAGCTGGTGTAGCTTGGCCCCGTCACCTTGGTGGAATGTGACCTGTGGAGTGGAGCAGGCTGAGCAGTTGGCTGCGGGCCGGCTAGACAGGGAGACTCCTCTCGGGAGCCCCCACCCTGTGCCTTGCCCACCCCCACCCCCACCCTAGGTCTGGGACCCATTCAGGGAAATCTGTGGGCGAGAACCCCACCGATACGGGGGTGCTACTCAGTCCCCAGCCCAGACAGGTGCAGTGCCTGGGATGGGGCAAGGCCACCACCCGGCCTGCCCAGCACCCCCTGCTGGGGAGCCTTAGGGCCTCTGTGGGAATGTGGGGTGGGGTGGGGTGGGGTGGGGCCGGCCCCGCCCACTGCATCCACCTCTGCTTCCAGCCTGGGAGAGTTCCTCCCAGGATCCCGGCCAGGCCAGCCGGAGGGAAGAAGGTGCAGGGACCTCTGAGGTGATGAAAGCCGGACCTGTCCCTCTCCCCACCAGCCCTCCTCCCCCCCTCCGCTGGCACAAGGTGGCAGCCCTGGGCTCTTTGCATAATCCTGTGGCTTCGCTATCTTCACCCAGCGAGGGCACACAGAGGGGAAGGGCAGAGCGGCCGCCATGGCGACACCCCTCTCTCACTCACAGCGGCGCCCGCCCCTCCTGCGCCAGGCCATCAAGATAAGGCGCCGCAGGGTCAGAGACCTGCAGGGTCCCCTGCCCCACACTGCTCAGGAGGTAGGAGTGACCTCGCGGGGAGGAGGGCTGGCCTGGGTGGGGCTCTGCGGTCCCAGGGTGTGGGCCCTACCTCTCCCGGCCTGGGGCGAGGGCGTGAGCCCCTCTCCTACATCTCCCTTCCCCAAAGCACAGCCTTCTGGGGCGGCAGAGCACAGTGTGCTGTGTGTTCTCTGGGCCACCCTGGGCCTTAGCTTTGGAGTCTGAGCCCCCTCCCTCTGGCCAAGCCGACCCCCGCCCAAGCTTTGCTCTCCCAGCTACTAAGGCTCGGGCCCCATTAAGCAGGGAGAGCCCCTGCTGGGGCTGGGCTGCTTGGAGACCCGCTGGGCAACCCCCAGGCCCGCCTGACATGACTCCCCGGTCTCCCACCTCTGCTTCTGGGCCTCACTTCCGCCACTGGGGTGCCGAGCTGGCTGCCCGATAAGCAGTGCTGTTTCCTCTGGGGAAGGAAGGGAGGTGGGGGCCACGGGTGCTGAGGCTCACGCTGCTGAGACAGCTGAGCGCCGATGGACCTCAGCCACAGCAGGCCAGAGGAGGACGAGGGCGACCTGGGGGCCAGACCCTCAGGAGGTCTGCTGGGGGAACAGGTGTGCGACCCTGGAGGGCGTGGAGGCTCGGCCCCGGTGCCCTGGGCCTGGGCCTGCTCTGCCAGGAGCCAGCCCCATCCAGGCCCGCGTCCAGGCCTCCCGGACACTTTGTCTTTTCATCTTGCTCCCCAGATCGAGGCTCCATCCCACCACTTCTCCCCTGAGGAGGTAAGAATGGAATGTTGGGGGGTGCAGAAAGGTGGCAACAGCTCCCTCACCTCCCCTGCACGTGCGGGCGCCTCGTTCCCCGCTTTGGGCATGCGGCGTTGGTGCCAGGGGTTGCTGGTGAGGTTTAGACCTAGTGGTGGGTGGACGGGGGTTCCCGAGGTGACCCTGCTGTGTGTCAGCGGGCCCTGCTCTACGAGGAAGCCCTCTACACTGTCCTGCACCGCCTGGGAAAGCCCGAGCCCGGCCATGTGAGCGAGGCGTCCGAGCTGCTGCGCTACCTGCAGGAGGTGAGGCCAGGCCGCCCCCCACCCCCGCCCCGTCCCACAGCCTGGACTCGGGAGTCCTCCTTCCCCGCCTGGCAAACCGTGACCTGTGCCCCGGCCTCCCACACTCCCACCCCCCAGGCCTTCCACGTGGAGCCCGAGGAACACCAGCGGATGCTGCGGCAGGTGCAGGCCCTCGAGGTAACCCTGGGCCCGGGCCGTGCGGCGAGGACGGGGGCCGGGAAGCCCAGCTCCTTCTGGGACTCAGCCCCCTCCCCCATCCCTCCAGAAGCCAATATTTTGTCTGAAGGCAACGGTGAAACAAGCCAAGGGCATTCTGGGCAAGGATGTCAGCGGTGAGTAGGAGGCAGGGGGCCCACAGGGCCTCTTCCTGGCGCCTCCCTCTCCCTGTCACAGTCTATCCCAGAACTCTTGGCAGAAGCTCCCATCTCCCGAACGTCCCCCGGGGCTGGCCCCTTGCCCTGGGAGTCTAGGGTGGGGAGGGGCTCTACCTCAGGGAAGGGGTGAGGAAGGACCCACCAAGGGAGCTCAGCCAAAGCCCTGGCCACCTCTTCCTCCCGTCCGCCCCAGGGTTCAGTGACCCCTACTGCCTGCTGGGCATTGAGCAGGGAGTGGGCACGCTGGAGGGCAGCCCCGGGTCTCGGCGGCGGCAGAAGGCTGTGGTGAAGCACACCATCCCGGAGGAGCAGACACACCGCACCCAGGTCATCAGCCAGACACTCAACCCCGTCTGGGACGAGACCTTCATCCTGTACGTGGCCTTGCCCCGGCCCCCACCCTGTCGGGGCATCTGGGGCTACCCTCGGTGGTGGGGACTCCCAGTCAGTGAGATCCACAAGACTTCCCAGTGCGGGGAGAGGGCCCGGCTTGACCAGAGGAGGAGTCTGCTTCTAAGGCAGGGGAGACAGACGGGAGGCCAAGCAGCACAGAACAGTGGCATAAATGCCACCTCTGCTGGCGGGCGCTGAGGGTCCACACAGCTGGGTTGATCTGAGGGTAGCTTGAAGCCTTACCATAAAGGAGGGAGGGATGTGGCTGGCAGGCAAGTAGCTTGCAGGAAGGCGCTAAGACTCCTCGAGGGCTGGCACTGGGGACGGCAGCTTCAGGGGACAGGCCCTGGGCTGGAGTAGGCTGTGGCCTGGCTGGAGTAGGGGGGCATTCTACCCTCCAAGGCCCTCGGCCCATGCCCCATTCTCCCCACAGGGAGTTTGAGGACATAAGAAATTCGAGTTTTCATCTGGACATGTGGTGAGGAGCGTCCCCTGCTGTGGGGGTGGGGGCTCCCAGGACACCCTCTCAGCCTCCAGCTCAGACATCTCCCTCACCAGGGACCTGGACACCGTGGAGTCTGTCAGGCAGAAGCTTGGGGAGCTCACAGATCTGCACGGGCTGCGCAGGTAAGTGGCGTGGCGTTCCCAGGGAAGGAGTCGGGGCTCCTTCTGCCCTTCCCCACACGTACCCTGGTTGCTGGGCTGCAGGTTCTGTTCGGCCCAGCGGGCACAGGTGGGGACAGACCCCAGCCTGACCCATCCCCCTCACATACCCCACCTGAGGCAGGATCTTTAAGGAGGCCCGGAAGGACAAAGGCCAGGACGACTTCCTGGGAAACGTGGTGCTGCGGCTGCAGGTGCGTGGGGTGCGGAGGGAGGCCCGGGAGACAGTCAGAAGGGGGGTTATGAGGGGCTCAGGGGAAGGCTTCCGGATTCACATCGAGCAGAGCTTGGGGTCCGCCTCCATCACCTCCCTGCCCACACGCCCTGCCTGCCGGCCCTTCAGGACCTTCGCTGCCGGGAGGATCAGTGGTACCCTCTGGAGCCCTGCACTGAGACCTACCCAGACCGTGGCCAGTGCCACCTCCAGTTCCAGCTCATCCACAAGCGGGTAGGTCTGGGACCACGGCCAGGGGCCTCCCAGCGGCCCAGCCGGGTCGGATGGGCTGCGCCGGGTGTGGGGTGCTCTGCTCACAGCTGTGCTGGCCCTGTTGCAGAGAGCCACTGGGGCCAGCCGCTCCCAGCCCAGCTACACGGTGCACCTCCACCTGCTGCAACAGCTCGTGTCCCACGAGGTCACCCAGCACCAGGTACTGCCCTCCTAGGGCTGGCTGGGCAGGGCCAGGGTCTGCCTGCCAGGTCCTGACACCCCTCTACCTGTGCCCTCAGGCAGGCAGCACCTCCTGGGATGGGCTGCTGAGTCCTCAGGCTGCCACCATCCTGTTTCTCCATGCCACGCAGAAGGACCTGTCCGACTTCCACCAGTCCATGGCGTGAGTGTGCCACCCTCCTTCCCCGCCTGCCCTCCTACAGGCTGGCAGCCCGAAGGCCAGCCCTCGGGAGATTCTGTTCGGCCCAATCTGCACAGGTTCACATCTCCAGCTTCCTGCGAAACGTTAGTGCCCGCGTCACAGGGCCGCCATGTCGCTGGGCTGTGGTTGGTCAGAGCAGAGGGGCGTCTCCTCCCCAGTCCGTCATGGTCACCCTCAGGCCCACTTCACTCCCTGACGTCACCTGAGTCCTTCCCGTTTGAGTTTGCCACCCCGCCCCAGACCCTGGCCGGGCTGAGGGCTTCCTGTCTGTCGCAGGCAGTGGCTGGCCTACAGCCGTGTCTACCAGAGCCTGGAGTTCCCCAGCAGCTGCCTCCTGCACCCTATCACCAGCATCGAGTACCAGTGGATCCAGGGCCGGCTCAAGGCAGAGCAGGTGGGCTGCAGTGGGGCAAGGGGTGTTGGGTGGGGCGCAGAGAACAGGAGCAGGAGCGGCTGTTGGACCCCGAACACAGCTCCTGCCTCATGGCATTTTCCCGGGCCCGCAGATGGAGGAGCTGGCAACCTCATTCAGCTCCCTGCTGGCATATGGCCTCTCCCTCATCCGGAGGTTCCGGTCTGTCTTCCCCTTATCTGTCTCGGACTCCCCAGCTCGGCTACAGTCTCTCCTCAGGTCCGTGGGGCAGAGATGAGGGAACAGCCAGTCACCTGCAGAGGTGGGGAAGCCTGCTGGAGGAGTGAGTGGTTCTCTGTCTCTACAGGGTCCTGGTACAGATGTGCAAGATGAAGGCCTTTAGAGAACTGTGCCCTGACAGTGGCCCACTGCCCCACCTGGTGACTGAGGCGCTGCGGGTATGGTACCCACCCCGGGGATGGGCAGGGCATGTACCTGGTCCTGGCAACCTTCCTTGCTCACTGACTCTTTGCCCACAGGCTGGCACCGTTGAATGGTTCCACCTGAAGCAGCAGCACCATCAGCCAATGGTGCAGGTGAGGGGCTCGGGCAGGGTGGGGGTAGGGTGCCTGCTTCTTGCACCCCTGCTCAGCTCGCCTCTGTCCCTGCCAGGGCATGCTGGAGGCAGGCAAGGCCTTGCTGAGCCTGGTCCAAGACATCATCGGTGACCTGCACCAGTGCCAGCGCACGTGGAACAAGATCTTCCACAAGTGAGCACGTGGCTGGGTCGGGAGTGGGGCAGGAGCTTGGAATGGGGACCGGGGCATCCCAGGGTGTGCCATCACGTCACACCCGCTGCCTTTCCTATAGTGCCCTTAAGATCGACCTCTTCGCCATGGCTTTCCTGGAGCTGCAGTGGCTGGTGAGCCCCCTCGTGCATCCAGGCCACTCCCTCCCCTCTGGCCCTGGAGCCCTGCCTACCATGCTGCCCCTTCACAGGTGGCCAAGCGCGTGCAGGACCACACGGCCGCGGCGTTGAGAGGCCTCGTGTCCCCAGAGATGGGAGAGAGTTTGTTCCAGCTCTACATCATCCTGAAGGAGCTCTGCCAGCTGGGCCCCGCCCCCTCGGAGAGGTAGGTAGCAGCGGGTAGCAGCGGGCTGCTGCGGGCGCGCAGCGGACAGGAGGGTCGAAGAAGACCCACAGCCCGCGCTGGCCCCGACTTTCCGCAGGGATGGAGTCCTGGCCCTGGATGGCTTCCACCGCTGGTTCCAGCCTGCCATCCCTTCCTGGCTGCAGAAGACATACAGCGTGGCCTTGGCGCGGGTGCAGCGCGCTGTGCAGATGGACAAGGTGGGGGCGGGGCCTGGACGAGGCGGGGTTTCGGCTTTAGGGTGGGGCTAGAGCTGGGGACCCGGTCCCTGCTTTGGGGGTGGGGCTTGGGGCTCCGCTCGGACCTCCAGGATGTGCAGAAGCTGGTGACCTGCGATGAACGATGCTCTTGAAGCCATTCGTGTGCAAGACCATGCCTCTTGATATCTGCGGGGTTAACGCTGGCTCCCCCTTATAGACTGGTCCTTGCCTGGGGGGCCCAGGCAGAGCCTTACTTGTTCCCCTTGTAGCCCGCTGTCCAGCTCTGCGCTCACCAGTGGTAGGAGCTCTGAACACTTGAGAAAGAAAAGAGGGAGGAGGGCCATGGATTTGGCAAGCCCTGAGCCCTCCTTTTCGCCGGCTCCCCCATCCCCCAGCTGGTGCCCCTGGGTGAACTGACCAAGCATAGCACATCGGCCGTGGATCTGTCCACCTGCTTTGCTCAGATCAGCCACACTGCCCGGCAGCTGGACTGGCCCGACCCAGAGGAGGCCTTCATGATCACAGTCAAGTTTGTGGAGGTGCAGCCTGTTTCATGTGTCCTTCCCCACCTTTCTAGGACAGCCTCATGCCCACCCCACCCTGTTTCTTCCAAGTTCCCACTCTAGCAGCTTCCAAAGGCCTACGTCCTAAACCCTCCAGGTCACTGAGTTTCCCAGGCCTTCCCCCATTGCTCTTCCTGGGTGCCCCCCCTTCCCCCACTGACCATCCCCTCCCCACCCCAGGACACCTGTCGGCTGGCCCTGGTGTACTGCAGCCTGATAAAGGCCCGGGCCCGAGAGCTCTCTGCAGGCCAGAAGGACCAGGGCCAGGCAGCCAATATGGTAAAGGCCAGAGCTGGGTGTTGGGGGCTGGGGTGGGGATAGACTGCTCCACCTGGCAGTATTCAGGACGCTCTGCATCCCTGTGCCCATGCCTGCCCCCAGCTGTGCGTGGTGGTGAACGACATGGAGCAGCTGCGGCTGGTGATCGGCAGGCTGCCCACCCAGCTGGCATGGGAGGCGCTGGAGCAGCGAGTAGGGGCTGTGCTGGAGCAGGGGCAGCTGCAGAACACGCTGCATGCCCAGCTGCAGGGTGCGCTGGCGGGGCTGGGCCACGAGATCCGCACCGGCGTCCGCACCCTTGCGGAGCAGGTACCTGTGCAACCCGCGGTGACCCCATCCCACCCATCCTCAGCCCGGAGCACCCCCCACCCCCCCAGCAGGACTCAGGGTGATGTCCAGCCCCCACCTCTTCCCGAACCTGCTCTCCCTCCTACCATTTTGTGTCCCCAGCTGGAGGTGGGCATCGCCAAGCACATCCAGAACCTCGTGGGCGTCAGGGAGTCCATCTTGCCTGAGGATGTGAGTGGCCCTCTCTGCTCGCTGACCTTTGCCAGCTCTGTGGGTCTGGAATTACACAGGGGCTCAGGGTGGGTGGGGGCCAAAGGTCATGGCGTGTCAGAGATAAGTTCCCCAGACTTGGGCAAGGAATGTTCCCTCCTGGGCCTCAGTTTCCTCCTTGAATGCTGGGAGGTAGGGCGAGGACATTCCACGGGCTCTCTCAGCACTGATGGTAGTGTCGCAGCTGCAGCGGGGCAGGGTTTGGATTTTGCAACCAGACATACCTGGGCGTGGCTCCTTAGCTGCCTATCGCCACAGCTGTCCTGTCCTTACAAGCAGACTGACCTCAGCTTCCTCATCTGTCAGCGGGATTAGCGATGCGCAACTTTGGCACTGATTTAGACATGGGGGATACATATCCGTGAACTCCGTGACAAAAATCCCCTCCTGCCTAGAGCTTATGTTCTAGTAGGTGAGGCGAAAGAGCTAAACAAGTATATATAACTAGAGCTACAGTTGTAACTATGAAGATAACATGTATACGCGTGTGTACGTACGTGGTGCGTTATATAATAGGTACTAAAGAGGAAAATAAAACACGAAAGTCATGGAGAGGGTCAGAGGGTTGTATTTTTAGATGGTGGCCAGGGAAGCCCATACTCAGGGGGTGGCAGCTGCGTCAAGACCCCAAGGAAGCAAAAGAAGGAGGCATGAGGATTTCTAGGGGCGGGAACAGCAAGGGCAAAGGGCCTGAGGCAGGACCACCATGCCTGGCAGGTTCAAGGGCCGTACGGGAGCCGGTGTGGCTGGAGCCAGCTGTGGGCAGGGCCGGCTCCTCCAGACTTCCCAGCCATGTGCACAAAATTGTCTGGCCCTGTGTTCTGCCCAGGTCAGGGCAGGGGAGCGAGGGTGGGACTGGAATGCGCCAGAGCCAGACATGTCGCCCGCCCCTCTCCCCAGGCCATTCTGCCCCTGATGAAATTCCTGGAGGTGGAGCTCTGCTACATGAACACCAACTTGGTGCAGGAGAACTTCAGCAGGTCTGCTCGGTGCCTTCCCCGTGGCACCCACCACCTCCGCCTCTCCTCTACCTGCCCCTCCTTCCCGGCCTCAGCATCCATTCTCAGGGGAGGATGCCACCAGCCTCTGCTTAAATGCTCACTCCCAGGGACATAAGGCTCCCTGCTCACCTTAGGCTGAGCCGAAACCTGCCTAGCCTTCCTCCCTTAGCCCTGGGCCATCTTTGGGGCTTTTGGACTATAGCTCTGCCCACCTAAGGTTACAGGCAACTGGTGTTCCTCTCCCACGACCCAGGAGAGCTTCTAGTTAGGGTCTTTCTTAAAGCAGGAGCCCAGCAGGGGGTAGAGCTCAAGAGCATGGGCTCATGGTCTGGATCCAGATTCCAGCTTCGCCCCTGCTCGGCGTGCGGCCTTGAACGGATTACTCAAGTTTTCTGTGCAGAATGTCGCAGTCCTGGCCTCTATTAAGGACTAAATGAGTCACATGAAGTGCTGAGAGCAGTGCCTGAGCAAAGGAAGTGGTCTGTGAGCTTTGGTGACAATGACGGCGATAGGTCCTCCGCAGGGGCTCGGGCCTGAGGAGGCTGCCGGCCCCTCCCCCAGAGCTCTGTTCCTCAGTTAGAACAGTGACTAGTGTGTGACAGAGCACTTAAGTATGTTGAATAAATTAACTACTTTTAATATAGACCGCTCTGTTCTTAATTGCACGTTTTCTGTACTTAACTGCCTGACTGCACTTTGACCTGTGAGGTTTCGATTATTTAGGGTCGTTGTTAGGACTGTGGCTTGCTTGCTATTTTCCTCTCCCCAGAGGTAACAGATGCCTCTCTATGCTGTGTGCCAAAATCCTATTCATTTTGGCCGCTGCCATCTTGACTCATGATTCTGTCACTGGGGGACCAGCCTCCCCACACCTTGTTTGTTGGGGTTTGATAATCTTACGAAGACTTCTTCATTGGTTAGGAGACTTGGATAGGGCTGGCCTTGTCTACCCTGCCAGCCCTCTCTCCCTATGCTGCCTGCTTGTGGCCCTGGCCCCACCCAGGCTCACCTGCGAAGCAGGGGGAGGTGGAGGGTGAGACAGGGAGGAGCTGTGGATGGGCCTGGGTCCCATGAGGCAGCCCCCTTCTCGAGAACATCTGCTTCCTCCTCTTCTGTCTTTCTGTCCTGTGTCCTGCCACCTCGACACCTCACCGCAGCCTTCTGACCCTGCTCTGGACCCACACGCTCGAGGTGATGGTTGAGGGTGCCACCTCCCAGCGGAGCTGCCCCCTGGCCTCTAGCAGGCTGAAGATTGCGCTGCAGGTAATGATACCAGTGACAGCAATAATAACCCTGGCGGGATGTGCATGGGGTCACCTCTGACGTCTCACTCATCCCCTAGAACCTGGAGATCTGCTTCTACGCAGAGGGCTGTGGCCTGCAGCCCGAGGCCCTGCACACGGCCACCTTCCAGGTAGGGGCCTTTTGATGTGCCTTCTGATGCGCCTGCCTTCCTGTGCTCACCTGTGTCCAGGACCAAACCCCAAATGAAACTGTGGGCCTCTTTTTCAAAAATTATTTAGAATGCTAAGATAGTGATAGCAGAGCGTTAAACCAAGCGTGAGGTTCGTCTAAGCATGGCGGAGGGAGATGCCATGCGACGGCATGGGTGGCACACCTGTGAAGCCCACCTGTGCCTTTAGCCGTCTGCCTGCGAGGTTGCGTTCCCTTGCTTGTGGCCCCATAACACCCAGAGTTTTCTATGTCAAATGGACATCTCCCCACTTGGCTATGAACTCCTGATGGGCAGCACTGGGCTGTGATTGAGTGTGACAGTTTGGATGACTTCTCGTCTGGGCCCATTCCCAGGCTTTGCAGAGGGACTTAGAGCTGCAGGCGGCCTCCAGCCGGGAGCTCATCCAGAAGTACTTCTGCAACCGCATCCAGCAGCAGGTGAGGCTGCTTCCCTCCGCGACTCTCACTGCTTACCTGGAGCCCCGCCTCACCTGTTCGGCCCCAGCTGACGCTGCCCCTGTGCCCCACCCCCAGGCGGAAACCACCTCTGAGGAGCTCGGGGCGATCACCGTCAAGGCCTCCTACCGCGCCTCTGAGCAGAAGCTGCATGTGGAGGTGCTCAGCGCCTCCAGCCTGCTGCCCCTGGACTCCAATGGTGAGTGGAGGCTGCCCACTGGCCGCTCCATGCCCCTGCCCTGCTCCTGGGCGTCCCTGGGGGCTCCGCGTGCCCAGCAGGAGCACTAGGTGCATTGCCTCTGGATTACCAGGAGGGGGCAGTGCTGCTGGGAGGGACCCAGCTGCCGGGAGTGGGGGCTGGACAGAGGGCTGGAATAGCCTTGGCCATCGTCCCTTCCCTGGGCCACTTGCCAGGCTCCAGCGACCCCTTTGTTCAGCTGACCTTGGAGCCCAGGCACGAGTTTCCTGAGCTGGCCCCCCGGGAAACCCAAAAGCACAAGAAGGACCTTCACCCGCTGTTTGATGAGACCTTTGAATTGTGAGTGGGTCCCCACAGCCGCTGCGCTTCCCCAGCCCTGGACCCGCCTCAGGCTTGCTCTTCCCGGCGGTGGCCGAGGGGCTCCCCAGAGATGACCTCGTCTTGGTCCCAGGAAGGGGGCGCCTGGGCAAAAGGTGTGCTGGCACAGGTGCCAAACCTGCTCCCCAGGGAGTGGAGGGAAGTTGTTGGGAGTAGGCTCCCACGTGTTGTTTCCAAGGAGGGGTCTTGAACCTGAGGTCCTCTGTTCCCCGAGGCAGGCGGGCCCAGGGACACAGGGTCCCCTGGTTTAAAGCATCAGCCTGCGGCCAGAGTAGGCGTTGTACCACGTGGCCTGAGGTATGCCAGGCTGAGGGCAGACTTTGCAACCACAGCCCCCCAGCCCCGCGTCTCATGTAAAGAGGGATTTTTCTCCCAGCCCTGGCTTGTCAGGGGTGAACACATGTGGGGCGGGCAGCTGAGCCCGACTCTGTTCCCCACCCAGCCTGGTGCCTGCTGAGCCGTGCCAGAAGGACGGGGCGTGCCTCCTGCTCACAGTGCTGGACCATGACACATTGGGGGCCGACGACCTGGAGGGCGAGGCCTTTCTGCCGCTGCGCTCGGTGCTGGGCCTCAGTGGGACGGAGGAGCCTGGGGAGGTGCCTCAGAGCCGCCTGCCCCTCACCTACCCCGCACCCAATGGTAGGCCTGAGCCCCGGGGCAGGGCAGGGGCCATGAGGCTGCAAGTGCAGGGCCTGGCTGGTACAGGGGTACAGGGCAGGGGCCCCCGAGGGGCGAACTTGGGGTTGGAGAAATCCCTCCTCAGAGGTGGCAGTCAGCAGAGCCAACGTGGTGACTTGTGTTGCTGAGTAGAATTTGTCTAGTCAAGAAACCAGTGTCATTTAAGCTGGACCAAGTGTCATGTGACTTTCTCTGGTGGGAGGTTAACAAATTTACCTGGGGAGAGGGGGCGGATCTTGATAGGAATAGGTCACGTGTTTGTGTACTTCTCATGGGCCAGTTCTATGCACTTGACCTGTAGTAACTCGCAACCTTACAGCCACCCAGTAAGGCAGACACTATTGGTGCTATTTTCCAGATGAGTGAACTGAAGCACAAAGAGGTTGTCTAGCCAGCCTAAGGTTCTGATGTACAAAGGCGGTAGTCAGTCACAACCTGAGGTACATCTCGGCCTCTCGCGTTGCAACAGAGCCAGTGCCTGGGCCAGTGTCCTCATGCCACAGGTGGCAAGGTGGTCTCCAGTCTTGTCCATCAGGCTGTCATGTCTTGTGAGCTGGTGTGGGTCCATCATTAGTTTCCAGGTTGGCCGGAGAATGGGCGGTGCTGGCCTCCTGCCACTGCCTGTTCCCCAGAATCTGACCCCCAAACGGCTCTCTTCACAGGGGACCCAATCCTGCAGCTTCTGGAGAGCCGGAAGGGTGATCGTGAGGCCCAGGTGTTTGTGAAGCTGCGGCGGCAGCGAGCCAAGCAGGCCTCCCAGCATGCCGTGCGGCTGGGGCAGTAGCAGAGGATGTTGGGGTGGGGCTGAGTCTCTGGCAGGGACAGGTTTCCCTGGGAGGTCAGGGTCCCCCCAGCACAGCGCAGCCCTCTGGCCTGGCCTAGCACTGGGCGGGGCCCTGCAGGTCTGGGGAGCTCCAGCATGCTGAAGGCCCAGAGTGCAGGCCCCCCATCTCCTGGCAGAGTAGAGGCCACAGTGATGGGGATACCATTAGCAGTTATTTATACTCCCTGCTCCCTCCCTTCAGCCCTGGCCCCAGCATTCCCTGCCCAATCCCAGCACCAGCAGGAGGGGAGGCAGCCATCTGCACCTCTTGGCCCCGTTCCCCTCTGGGAAAATCTGCCCTGGTGGAGCAGGGTCTTGGGCGTCTGTCTCCTGGCATGCCTATTCCAGCCACTGAGTCAGGGTCAGGGCTGTGGGCACAGAACCTCCCTCCTAGGGGAGGGAGAGGTGACCCTGCCCAAGATGAGGCTACAGCTGCCCTGGGGGTGGAGCCGGGTCCTCTCCTGAGGGGGCCGCCAACACCCAGGCTAAGGAGCCTGGAGCCCGGGACCTTCTGGCTGAGAAGTGAGAGCTGCCAGGCAGTGGGGCTGGCATGGAGGGGCGGAAGCAGAGAGGACAGCTTGGCTAACCATATCCACTGAGGACATCTCCTCCCTGGGCCAGTACCTCCCACCTAGAAACTTTCTTAGCGAAAATAAAAAAAAAAAAAATTGACAATCCATTGTCCTCTTAGCAAATATACTGTTGGCCTGCAGTGGGGCCTATAACAGTTACACGATGTAACCGCCCCCTCCCCAGCCCTTAGGACACCTTGAGCTGCCCCCACCCCTGGGGTCTGGCCCACCCTGTACTTGCTCCTGTCACAGAGCAGGGAGGTGGGTGTGGGGGTGCTCATGCAGAAGCAGGTGCTGTGGCAATCGGCACTGCTGGTATTTGGGCCAAATGTTTTGAACAAAACGTTACCAGGCACATCTATTTCTGTGGTTGCTGCCCCACACAGGGGCCTGGAACTCCAGCCGGGGCCTCCTAGGGGTGCAGGGGCTGCTCTAAACAGCAGGGCTCAGAGGAGCGGGGTCCCACCCCTGGGGGGTGGTGGCCTGCATGCTGGGTGTCTGAGCCTGAGGCCCGGTTGTGATTCTAGCTGTGCGAATCTGGCTGTCACTTAACCTCTGAGCTCACATCAAGTATGAATGGTGGGAGAGCCGAGATCATCCCCACGGCCCTGTCAGCTCTGAATCTCAGACCGAGGAGCCCACAGCTGTGTTTTGTCACAACCGCCTAGCAGGCCAGCTGAGAGCGGGGCGGGGGCGGGGGCGGGTGGTAGCTTGAAGGCTGGGACCCACCGCCCTCAGGGGGCAGGGTGGGAGAGGTGGAGTGGAAGTGGGGGGCATGTCCTCTGGGACCCACGTTTCTCTTGATGCTTCTTTGAGAAAGGCACTGTTGCTCTGAGAAACCAGTGGCGACCGCAGCTGGAGTCCTGAAGAGAGTCATAGGGCTGGAGGTCTGTGTCCCCTTTATGTCCCCCACAGCAGGCCTGGCTCACCCAGGCCTCTGCAGCCACCCAGCAGCCCTGCCTCAGGGGTGGGGGCACCAGCTCTTTCCAGGGCTGAGGCAGGGCTGCCAGTCCAGGTGGGACTGGAACCTGGGCTGGGACAGCAGTTCAGGGGTGCTCATCTGGGGCCCCACTCCCCTTCACCCCATGCAAACAAGCTACCCCTGCAAGTTCATATTTTATTTCCAGTAGGTTTGGAGCTTTGTTGATTTTGCATTTTTGTAAAAAAAAAGAAAGTTTTCACTTAATTCATCGAAAGCCCTTTCGTGCTGAGCCCAAGGGGGGTGCCGGGGCCAGACCCTTTGCAGCGCTCTTGCTCCCACCCCAGACACCCAGCGCCGGGATCGGGGTGGCTGCCCTCCACCCACTCTGCCCTCCCACCCCCACTGCATCTCTCTGTACAGAACAATTTTTTAAATGGAAGCTAAGACACACTATACATCGGACAGGCACGCACACACATGCACACGGGCGTCCGCTCCCAACTGGGGCGGGACGTCAGCTGCACTCAGAGAGCACCAAGGAATGCATACGGGCCCTCCTGAGAGGAGGGCAGGGCCTGAGCCCCCGGTCCTCCAGGTCCGCAGCTCCTCCCTACCAACGACCCTGCTAGCTGCCAGAGGGAGGGGTGGAAAGCACAGGGCCATGCCAGGAGGGGGGGCAGCTGAAGGCAGCTGGGGGGTGACAGAGGGCAGTGCCAGCCTCGTAGGTGGCCCTGGGGCCAGGGAGGCTGCTTTGGGAGTGCAGCAGGGAGGACGGAGGCAGACCCTCTCCACCCGGCCTCAGGAACCTGAGGGGTAGAACCGCCGGCCTTGCCCCTCGAGAGGCATCGAGGCCCAGAGCTGGGAGCGGGGCTGGCCCCACAGCTTGGGCCCACCAGCCCCAAACTAAACACATTTGGTAAACCCAGGAGCCAGGCTGGCCTGGACCCCCAGCACCCCCGCAGGCCTCGAAGCTGGGAACCAGGTCTGCTCGGGGGCTCTACACCCCTGGCTCTCGCCCTGGCCTGGGGAGGTGGGGTGAACAGGGCCGGTCCGGAAGGCTTGTCCCCGCCCCGCGGCCCCTTCCAGCTTCCCACCCTTCCCTGCTCAGGCCCCAGGAAGAAGTTAAAAATAGTTAGTTCCTACATAAAAAAAGAGACAAACAGATTCCCTGCCAAAAGGCTGGTGGGAGAAGAGAGGACCGTGGGGAAGGTAGGGAGCGGGCGGGGGGAGGACTGCAAAATAGTTTCTTCTTTTAAAAAGTGCTTGGTAAGTCTGTTTTAAAGTGTGTGTCTATATCTATATACAGATATACACACAGACACTGGTCACGCACTGGCCGCCCACGCATACCTGCACGCATACAGATGTATACATATACATAATCATATACATATACATACATACATACATACATACATACATATATATATATATACTTTAAAAAGTCCTAGGTGAGAAGATCTGAGCCAGGCCGGGGCCAGGCCTGCAGGGTCACGATTGGAGGGTGTGGGCCCGGCCCGGCTGGCAGACGGGGCACTCGCTGCCCTCGGCACAGAGCTCGCACAGCACGGCGTGTTGGCACGGCAGCACCGCTCGGTTCTGCTCCTGACACTTAAGGCATTTCACCGACTGCATGTGGAACACGGCCTGTGGGGAAAGGGACACTGCAGTCACTGGCCTGTTTCCTTCAACTCTCATTTCAGCCCTCTTAGGATGAGGACACTGAGGCGCAAAGCTCGCAGGACCCAGCTGACAAGTGACAGAGCCGGGTTAGATTCAGGCTGGTCACTTCAAGGCTCCCAAATGCCGCTTTCGGTTTGGGCTGCGAGCTGAGGGCAGGGGAGTCAGAGCCCAGGGGGTCGGGGGGCCGGCTGCCGAAGGCCCAGTGAAG